GGGGGGGGGGGGAGATCTTAATCTGCCATGTGACTATGGTACATCTTGTGAGGATTGAAAGTAGGTATAATCTCAGATTAAAAAATAAGATTGTTAAAGAGAACAACTTGAAGGTCCTATAATGGGTTTTGATCACACAGACATTCCATTTTTTAATAATCAATGTAAATGTTAACTATAGATTGTAGTTCTTGACAATCTCAGATTATTGTTGGTATTCCATTTCCCAACATGTAAGATTCCTTTCTTTTCTCCTAATATTTATTTTTGAAGAAGGAAGCCTACTATGGGAATAAATTTTTCTGATTGCCTGATTTATTATAACTTAACAGAAATGATATTCATGTTGCACTGAAGAAGAAATTTAATGACACCTACAAATCATCCAAAAATCTATTGAGTGGAAATGAGTGGTACTGCCACCAAGCATTCAGAGCTTTAAATCAAGCAGCAGGTAAGACTTAATTCTATTTATTTATTTTCATTATATATTAACAAAGCTTATTGTTTTTTCAAAATTTTACTTTTTTTTTTTACACTGATTTCTGTAGGGCGCTGTATTCGACATAAACTTGATTATGGAGCAATCATCCTATTGGGTATGAACGGCCTACTACTTCGGTTCTCTTCTTCTCTTCCACCTTTGTTGTTTCTCTCCTTTTTGGATTTATAATTTAGAAACTGATTTTTATATATGAAAGGGAGAATGGAATTTACTAGGCTTTCCACAGTCTGCAAAATATTACACCAGTGTTTGCTGTGGAAGAGTTTTCAACATTAAAACAGTTGTCTTTTTCATTAGTTTGTTTGGAACTAATTCCTTTTAGAATATTTTGAATTTTGGAGGACATTATATGTAATATATGAAAAGAACCTATATAAATTTCTCTCACAGAATATCAAAATACAGAATCTTGATGACTTAAGGGTCTCCTAATAGAGAGAAACCTTATCACAACTTTTATTATATTTTTTTCTTTCCTCAATACGAAGTGCTCACAGCTATTTATATTGTACCTCCTAACTAATTAGCTTTTCTGCATTAGTTAATTACAACTGACTCTTCATCAATATGTACCCAGAATTTATACAACTAAAGATAATGAATTACTAAAAATAGTAAAATACATCCCCCGCTAGGTATTACAGGCTCCCCCAATTAACAAAAGGCCTTGCGCCAAGGTCCTGTTGTAGCACCACTGTCTGCACACCAACCTTTCTCATTCAATATTTTTTTGGGCACAGAGAGTATCTAGATTTGCCTCAGCTTCATCTAAAGGGTTCATGTCATCTTCGACCATCTCTTGTTCACTGAAGATGGAATTCAATTTGTGCCACACCTTACATTTTTGTTGATGGTTTCAATTCCATTCTTCAGCACGAAAATGACACTGGCCCCAAGCAATCCTTTCATTTGCTTTCTGGTTGGAAAATTGCTGGTTGTTGCCTTTTTGCTCCTTCCAAGTGCTGGGTTTGTTGGTAATGTTTGGTTTAGATTGTTGCAGGTTGGTGATGGGAGTGATTTGAGGTAGATATTGATTGGTGGTGGTCCCAAGTGTACAGGTTTTGGGTTGGAATTGGAAATCGGTTGAAGATTTGTGAGTTTCTTGAATTCGTTTTTCTGATTCAGCCAGTATATCACACTGTAATTTGGCCAACCTCAGCCTCCTGAATGGTGTTAGGTTTATGTAACCTCACTGCCTTTTTCCAAGGGACTGCTCAACCCTCCCAAGAAAAAACTCACAACCATAGCCTCAGTAACTTCCACTTTGGCTAATAATGCATCAATTTTTTCCATGTAATCCTCTAAAGAATCCTCATACCTCAACTTTGGCAACATAGGAATTGGATCATCGTAGTTTCCTGCATCAAATCAAGGTCCCACATCTGACAAAAATTGTTTCCATGGTATGGATTTCTTTCCTTTGTGAGTGACATAAGGTGTTGCCAAGCAAAAGCTTTTCCATCCAGGATAGGAGCTACTGCTTGCCCCGTTGCTCCTTTGATTTCTCTTTAAGCTCAAAAAATTGTTGTTTTTGTCCTCCAGTTGTGGTAGTTTGTTCCATTTCCATCAAATGATTGAAAGGAAATTTGTGATCAATCACCTTGAAGTGAGAACTAGGATTTGCTTCACCACCTTTCTTGGACTCCACCGTATCATCTTTTTCTGATTGTTCAGGCATATCAGTAATTTCTCTATCATGAAACACATCTCTTCAAACGAGTTCTTGGTAGATTGTTGGGACTCTTCAAGAATGTGTTCCAAGCGTTCAATTCTTGCCTCCAAATCTTTATTGTAGACAGATTCCACCATTGTTGCTGACTACTGATACCACTTGTAATATATGAAAAGAACCTATAGAAATCTCTCTCATAGAATATCAAAATACAGGATCTTGATGACTCAAGGATCTCCTAAAAGAGAAACCTTATCACAAATTGTTATATTTCTTTCTGCCCTCAATACAAAGTGCTCACGACTTTTTATATTACACCTCGTAACTAACTTTTCTGTACTAGTTAGTTACAACTGACTCTCACATCAGTTCATACCCATAATTTATACAACTAAATAAAATGAATGACTAAAAATACATCCCTTTAATAGGTATTACCATTGGTAAATATTATCGTATCAATGGAACATAAATGAGTTGTGACGGTTTTTCCCATGGTGCAACCATGAAAGCAGGCAGTTCTGTCTTGCAAACTACCTTTTATGTTTAGATCTAATAATCTGGTGTTTCCCCCCCTTGTTTTGGTATGCCATTGAGGTGCAGTTTATTTTTTCACCAAGGTTTATTTTAACACCATTCTTTGTTTAACCATCAAATTCAACTCTATACTTTCAACAAGCTTTTCTATAATAATTGGTGTAATTATTCTTGTGGAATTAGATGAACGTTTTCGGGAAGAAAGAAATAGGGCATTCATTTCAAAGTGGCTAAGAAGACCGCTGAGAGTATATGACAGGTTTGATATGTCATTGGAGGGACTAAAATCATTCTTTGAGGATGCCAAGGTACATGGCATATTGGTTTTTTATAATCTGCCTTGTTCCTCATCAGGGTTTATTGAAGAGAGGATTTTTAATATATGGTCAACTTGCTGTAGGAACAATATGGCATAAATACAGTGCATGCCACCAAGAAGTTGGGTTTAAATGACGAGGATGTACAAAACAAGGATCGGAGTGCAAGGTTCACAAGAAAGAAAAATCAGAAACTGAACAAGTCTGATAATGGAGATGGGAGAGAAACATCATTGATTCAGACTAACATCTCTTTTCCCACACTAACCCCTCAAGATCTTGTTGAAAGCAAGCCATTAGCTCAAAAGAATAGTAACACATACAAGTGTAAATATCACTCACAATGCTGTAATCAGACAGAGCCAAGGTATTTCTTTCCTTTTGTGTTGCCAGCGTTTTGTTGTAATTGGTAATATGGTATGGTTTTTTTTAGCAACTAAATATCTAAACCTAATGAAAAACACAACTGTTTTGAAGATTTGGTGGATTTAAATCCTTCTTTGGTTGTGACCAAGTTTTTATTTTGGCCTCTATATTTCAAATCTCATAGACATGTAAGAGATATTAATCTTGTATTCAGTACAACTGAAATACAGAATACCCAGCTGATTCTTTGATTGTTTATTTAATAAATAACAATTGCATTTCTTGATGTTAGCCGATCTTTAAGCATATGTAGAATGTAGCTATATAATTGAGTTAGCAAAACTGCCACTGCCAGATCTTATATTAAAACCTATGGTGTTTTTTGTATTTTTTTATCTTTTGGGTAAATAAGTAAAGAAGACCTTAATTGATCTGCATGAACTATTGTTCTTTTTAAAATTTGGATGTCATAAATATGCTTTGCCCTTATGCCTATGCGTCTTTCTATTTTGTTTTGGCTGAGGTCTTTCAGGGTTTCAATTCTGTAATTCTAAAGATTGACTTTAGTTTCTTCAAAGTCAGCTGGACTTAGACATTCATTTTTTATCTCGTAAAATATGTTAGGTATAGTTGATAGTTTTTTATGCCATCAAATAACAATTGTCTAAACTTTAATATAATTTGCAATTATTTTTACATCACTAACAATCACATTGTGGTTACTTGTTGAAAAATGTTTTTATTACAGGTTCACTGGGGAATCATCTGTGGCAATCATACATGAGGAAACTTCCATTGTCAAGGAAACCCCTTGCATTGATGTTGATGACGATCTCAGTAGCCCAGATTACTCTAAGAATGACAACTTTGGTTCCACCATGATTGAGGCCCCAGCTCCATCTGCAGATCACTTATCAAGTCTTTCAATGTCTTTAACCAGCGGAAGTAAAAATTCTTCAAGGGCCCAGTCTTCAATAACAATTACTCCTAAAAAAAATGTAATTACAAATGATATTCTAGAAAAGGAATCATCTTTGAATTTAAGTGTTAATTCTCACAATCCAAAAAGGAGAAAGGCCATGGTCACTCCGTTTATAAACCTCGTTGAGGAAGAAAATTTTACTGCATCTTGTGCCAGTCCTCTTACATGGTACAGAAAAAGCTCTGTAGATATTAGAGAGATATCTCAAGGAAGTGAATGTGGTTTTGAGAGAACTTTGAAATCAAATTCTTCTTCATTACTGACAAGCAATATACCTGGTTCATGTTCACCAACTGCCCCTCCACCGGACAAAAGGTTACAGATATTTTGTTCACACTGCAAAGGTCCATTGGGCCGACCTGAGAATCATCTCTATCTTACATGCTTGTTGAATTCATTATCAAAAGTCCATTTAAGATCCCTTTTGAAACAGAGGCTGAAAACTTGCACTACTGATAGTGTACCAGTTATTATTACTGATTCTTTATTTGTTGACCAACGAATTTGCAATAGAATACCCAAAAGTGCTCCAGAACAGGGTATTTGGTGTCCAGAAGATGGGTGTGTCTTCAGCACTATTTTCTGTCCCTTTTGCAGTAATATCGACAATTTGCTAGGAGTTCAGATCATGGCTACCGATTCATCAAATGTTCAGTTACTTGACAAGGTGACTTTTACCACCCGGGTTAAGCAACATTGTTTCATTTGTGCATGAATCTTAATGTCCTTTTCTGTGGTGTTCTTTGCAGTTTCAGCTGTGTCAATTTTCTCTAGGTGTTCTTTTAATTGTATTTTTCACTCACATTTCTTCTTCAGATATTGTTTTTCTTTGACTCTTTGGAAGTGAAGAGCGGCGAGGAGTCAGGGAACATTGCTTCAGGGGAAGGGGTAAGATTAAAAGCAAATGGTTGTTAGTCTTTTCCATGTAGCTAATACTTATTAAAATAAGGTTTAATTACCTTTTTAGTTTCTATAAATTGATAAGCTTTATTTTTTAAGAGCTTATACGTATCATTTTTTTTCCTTTTAGTTCCTGTAGACTGTAGTATATTTATGTAGGGACTAAAAGGTAAAATTTATGAAACTATAAAGGAAACACATAAATATGTATAAGAACTAAATTGGATATTTTTAATTATAAGGACTAAAATGTAAAGTTTATGAAAATATAATAGTAATTAAATCTTAAAATAATTGTTGACAGTGGCCCATCTGTTTTCTTGCATATTGCCAGAAACAAGCATTTTATGGCTTGGGAAAAGTGTTTAAAACTGGAATTTAACAATAAAACTTCACAGAACACAATCTTTTATCTGTACTTTTGAAATTGTTCTTCATGCATGCTAAAGTGCTGAATTATAATCGATAATTGTGCTAGATATTTACCTGACACTGGATGATGACTTCTTATTTGCTGTAGGATCTGTTGCCAGTTAATGACTCTGGCATGGAGAAAATTGCTGTCTTAAATTCTATTGAGAAATATTCTTATCATCCCCAACCAGGGAATTCAGAAATCTCGAAGACTACTAGAAAATCTAAGGTAAAAGAATTCAAGTAATGCTTCGTGCATTTTGTTGACAAAGTATAGTTAATTCTTAGATATTTCATTGTAAATGATGCAGCAAAAACTAAGAGGCTTGCACCGTGCAGCAAACCAAAGTTGAAGCTAGTAATATTGGGGTTCTGATGCAGTTTTTGGTAACCTGTTAAGAATACAAATTGAGGTGGGGATGCTGGTTTCTCAAAAATTGAATTTAAGAATATTTTTTGTTTGACGTCAATCACATTTAATGTAATTAAATTTTCTATTTGGGTTGAGTTTTTTTTTTTTATTTTTTATTTATTTTTGTGAATGTCAAACATAGGATTCTGAGATTGTGTGCATTGGAATTAGGAATAGACTTTGTATGGGCTAGTTTATATGGCTT